AAATTTCTCTCGCAGTCGGATTTCTCAATGGCATCGTTGTTCATCTGGTAACTGGTTTCCCTGTTTACATCTCCTATACTGAGTACTTTACATTTGTCCACATTGAATTTCATTTGCCATTTTTCAGACCATTCGAAATTTTTTTTAGATCTTCCTGTAGTCTTGCGGAGTCCTCGTCATATTTAATTACACGCCCTATTTTAGTGTCATCAGCAAATTTACTTATGTTGCTGTCTATGCCGACATCTATGTAGTTTATTTACATAATAAATAATAATGGTCCAAGTACTGAGCCTTGGGGAACTCCACTAGTGACGTTGCTCCAATGGGATTTAGTGCCGTTAATGCTCACTCGCTGTTTCCTGTCCTGTAACCACGCCCTAATCCATTTCAGAATATTACCTTTAATGCCATGTGCTTCTACCTTTCTTATTAGTCTTTTGTAGGGGACTCTGTTCGAAGGCTTTGCTAAAGTCGAGATTTACCACATCATAATTGTGCCCCTCGTCCACCGATTCGAAAACTGATGAAAAGAATGTTAATAGATTAGTTAGACATGAATGCCGGCTTGGGAATCATTGATCAGTTTGTGCTTCTCCAGGTGGTTTCGAATAGAGTTTGAAATGATTGATTCAAGTACTTTGCCTACAATTGATGTTAGACTGATTGGACAGTGGTTAGAGGATAGTGATCTATCCCCCTTCTTGAAAATCGGTATTGCATTCGCTATCCTCCAGGATTCTGGTACTACACCTGTTTTTAAGGATATGTTAAACAACTTTGCTAAGGGCATACTAAGCTCTTCCTTACATTCCTTTAATACTCTGGCAAATATCTCATCGGGACCAGGTGACTTATTAGGCTTTAGTTTGTCTATTTGCTTACTAACATCGTTACTAGTCACTACTATCTCGCTTAATTTGTTTTCTTCACTATCTCTGAATAGAGTCGGTGCCTCGGGTATCATGTTTAAATTTTTGGTGGTGAAAACTGTTGAAAAATATTTATTCAGATTATTGCTCATTTCTCCATTGTTGTCAGTTAGCTCGCTGGTATCTGACCGCATTGGTCCAATCTTTTCTCGTGTTTTAGTTTGATACATTTGGTATAATCCCTTGGGGTTTGTCTTCGCCTCCCTTGATATCCTCAGCTCATTTTTCCTCTTTGCTTTCCTTATCTCGGTCTTAACCCTACCGGCCAATACTTTATAATAATCCCAGAGGTAAATTTCGCCACGATTTATCCTCCTACCGATAGCCTTCCTTTGACCAATAATGTTCTTTAAAAAAATATTTATCCATTTCGGGTCATTGTTGTTTGATCTGAGTATTTTGTGTGGTATGTTCTGCCTTTGTGCATTATGTAACTCATTATTTAAATTGTCGCGGAACTCAGATCTCGTTATCAGGTTGGTTTCAACCGTCAGGTCCAAGTAGTTCACCCCCAAGCGTAATACCCCTTCTCTCAACTGCCTCTTCAAACTATCAAAGTTTACCCTTCTGAGTTACCCGCAAGGTCAATCCAATCTATTTGGCCAAGGTTAAAGTCGCCTACTATACAGACTTTGTTGTGTATGGAAGCCCTGCGCATTTCATTCCAGATATGTCGTTCATAAACTCTATCAAGATTGGGAGGTCTATATATTACTCCTGTGATTAATTTTTCCCTACAATCGATTAATTCTATCCAAATTGTTTCTGTATTCCTCTCAGTTTTTATTCCCTTATTTATTTCACACTTCAGATTATCCCTGACATAGATTGCTACTCCGCCTCCTTTCCTAATCTGCCTATCGGTATGGAATAATTTGTAACCTGCAATTTGGTATTCGACAGGTAACTCACGTGAGTCTAGGTTGATCCATGTTTCAGTGAATGCTCTTATATTGATTTTTTCGGTACATACCAAGGCCCTAATATCATCCATTTTGTTTCTCATACTTCTACTGTTCATGTAGTAGACATTTAAGTTAGTCGTGTTCTGAGTCCTCCCTTTGCCGCGTTTAGGTTTTAACTCGCTGTCTAATTAGTTTTGTCGTCATTCCTATCACTATTTCCCTGTAACCTTTCATTTTGTTTACCCGCTCCCACTGCAGTCTCCTCCACCCCCGTGCTCATATGTTCCCCTAGCAGTTTAAAGACTTCGACATCTTTTGGACTGCAGTTTCAAGAGTTCCAGCCAGGGTAGCCACTCCATCCCTAGACAGATGCACCCCATCCCTAGCATAAAGGTCCCTTCTGCCGTAGAAGTTGTCCCAGTTGTCAATGAATGGGACTGATATTGACTTGCAATATCTGTCAAGACGGCCGTTGACACCAACTGCCCTTGACAACCATTCATTGCCAACTCTACTTCTAGGCAGGACACCACATATGATAGGGATCCCTCCCCTAGACCTAACACGTTCTATACCTGTCTTGAACTTATCAAGAAGCTCCTCACTCCTACACCAGCCAATATTATTGCCTCCTGCACTGAGGCAGATAATGGGTTTGTTCCCATTACCAGACAAGATGTTGTCCATCCTGTCAACTATATCCCCCACTCCAGTTCCTGACAAACACACCCTCATCCTATTTTTATCTTTACCGCAAAAAGCTCAGTCCATGTACCGTACCTGGGAGTTGCCAACAATCAAGATTTTCTTACCTTCCTTGTCAGCCTTGTCCCTGACTATACTAACGTCCAATTCATCTATCAAGGTACTGAAAGAGTTGGTACACTTAGCTGTTGTTGTCGTTTCCTTGGTGTTTTTTCACCACCAGTTTGGTTGTCCCTCTATACTCACAACCTTCCATTCGCCTGAGTTTTCGACATTCACCTGCTTTCCTTGTCTCGTTTCTTCCTACATCCTCGCTATCTCTTCTTTTAATTTCAAGATATCTTCCTTGGCCCTCTCCAACTCGGCCCTCAGAAGGGCACGGCCCTGTTCACAAGTTGCACTAGCCATTACTGACAGTTTATCCCCGGGAGCTAAGCCGCTGTGACCTTTCTTCTAGCGAGGTCAGAAGACAACTCCAAATGAGTGTTGGAGAACAATGAGTGTTGGAGAACAATGAGTGTTGGAGAACAATGAGTGCTGGAGAACAATGAGTGCTGGAGAACAATCAGTGTTGGAGAACAATCAGTGCTGGAGAACGAGTGTTGGAGAACAATGAGTGTTGGAGAACAATGAGTGCTGGAGAACAATGAGTGCTAGAGAACAATGAGTGCTGGAGAACAATGAGTGTTGGAGAACAATCAGTGCTGGAGAACAATCAGTGCTAGAGAACAATGAATGCTGGAGAACAATGAGTGCTGGAGAACAATGAGTGCTGGAGAACAATGAGTGCTGGAGAACAATGAGTGCTGGAGAACAATGAGTTCTGGAGAACGATGAGTGCTGGAGAACAATGAGTGCTGGAGAACAATGAGTGTGGGAGAACAATGAGTGCTGAGAACAATGAGTGAGAACAATGAGTGCTGAGGAACAATGAGTGCTGGAGAACAATGAGTGTGGAGAACAATGAGTGCTGGAGAACAAGTGTGGGAGTGCTGGAGAACAATGAGTGTGGAGAACAATGAGTGCAATGAGTGCTGGAGAACAATGAGTGCTGAGAACAATGAGTGCTGGAGAACAATGAGTGGGAGAATAATGAGTGCTGGAGAACAATGAGTGTGGAGAACAATGAGTGGAGAACAATGAGTGCTGGAGAACAATGAGTGCTGGAGAACAATGAGTGCTGGAGAACAATGAGTGTTGGTGAGAACAATGAGTGCTGGAGAACAATGAGTGAGAACAATGAGTGTTGGAGAACAATGAGTGTGGAGAACAATGAGTGCTGGAGAACAATGAGTGTGCTGGAGAACAATGAGTGTTGGGAGACAATGAGTGCTGGAGAACAATGAGTGCTGGAGAACAATGAGTGTTGGAGAACAATGAGTGTTGGAGAACAATGAGTGCTGAGAACAATGAGTGTGGAGAACAATGAGAGAACTGCTGGAGAACAATGAGTGCTAGAGAACAATGAATGCTGGAGAACAATGAGTGCTGGAACAATGAGAACAATGAGTGTTGGAACAATGAGAACAATGAGTGCTGGAGAACAATGAGAGAACAATGAGTTGAGAACAATGAGGTTGGAGAACAATGAGTGTTGGAACAATGAGTGCTGGAGAACAATGAGTGTTGTAGAACAATGAGTGTTGGAGAACAATGAGTGTTGGAGAACAATGAGTACTGGAGAACAATTAGTGCTGGAGAACAATGAGTGTTGTAGAACAATGAGTGCTGGAGAACAATGAGTGCTGGAGAACAATGAGTGTTGGAGAACAATGAGTGCTGGAGAACAATGAGTGTTGGAGAACAATGAGTGTTGGAGAACAATGAGTGTGGGAGAACAATGAGTGCTGGAGAACAACGAGTGTTGGAGAACAACGAGTGTTGGAGAAAGCAGGAAATACATAACAACTACTGGTCATGAGGCAGTTAACTACAGGTCATGAGTAGTTAACTACAGGACACGAGGCGGTTAACTACAGGTCATGAGGCAGTTAACTACAGGTCATGAGGCAGTTAACTTGTTGAGTCTTCATCGTGTCATCTCACTTGTTACCATCATCTTGACTCTTACATATTTGTTTGGTCGAGTGAGTAGCGAGTTATACTGACCTGACAGAGGACAGTGTTGTGCCTCAGAGTACAGATAAACAAGTGGCTGGTGGACATATCCGAAGTGATCTTTGTTGATATTTAATACACCAAACAATTAAATGGAACCTAAATAAAATAATAATTATGTTTAGGCACACTGGACCAAGGTTTATACACGTCAACTTTGAACCCAGTCATAAAATGTAACGAGTGATTGTGTGTAGCTAACTAATTATTTTATTTAGAAAGAAAGACTGATAGCTTCCTACCCCCATGGTGATAGGAAGACATGCATCGTCTCGATCATCCCAGACACGCACCTTATGAAATATGGACTCACCCATGTTTAACAGTCGTAGTGCCATTCCTAATATTTACTTTGTGTTCTGATTGCCATCTTTGATTTGTTATTTAGAGAAGTCCGTACTTGCAGTGAACGTGGTGGAGGCACTGCAGGAGTTCTGGCAAATGAAGGCCCAGCGGGGAGCAGAGCTGAAGAATGGCGCCCTTGTCATCTACGAGTCTGTGCCTTCCTCCTCCCCACCCTACGTCTGCTACGTCACTCTTCCTGGTGGATCCTGCTTCGGCTCCTTCCAGGTTAGTTACTTGCTTCTTACTCCAAAGGTTAGTTCAGTGTTGTCAGGTCACACCAGGTCTATGTAGGGTTATGTTGTAGGGTCTCAGGCCTATGTAGGGTTATGTTGTAGGGTCTCAGGTCTATATAGGGTTATGTTGTAGGGTCTCAGGCCTATATAGGGTTATGTTGTAGGGTCTCAGGTCCATGTAGGGTTATGTTATAGGGTCTCAGGTCTATGTAGGGTTATGTTGTAGGGTCTCAGGTCCATGTAGTTCATGTTGTAGGGTCTCAGGTCCATGTAGGGTTATGTTGTAGGGTCTCAGCGGGTCATCTTGTGGTTAGGTTAGGTTATATAATGTTAGGGTATGTAAGATTTGGTTAGGTTAGGTTATATAATGTTAGGGTATGTAAGATTTGGTTAGGTTAGGTTAGATAGGTTTAGTTAGATAAGGTTAGGTTAGATTCGAGAAGTAGGCAGAAAGTCGGTAGCTAGGATGAAGAATGAAGTCAAAAGTACACAAAATATTTAGTATAATATCATCCAAAGATAATTATCTTTATAATCAGAATAACATAGATTAAAGACAATTAGTTATTAGGCAGCTACCAAACAGGGAGGTACTACCGCCTGGGAAGATATTGGAAGCATAATGTGTTGTCTAATGGTAGACCCTTTTGCCATATGTGACCAAGTCCCAGGTTGATGATCTGACTTTCTGCCTCATTTACACACAATTACAGGGTCTCAATTGTTTCTCTTACTATCGACAACACAACATACATAATGTATATTGTTTCTCACTTTTGATCTTTTTTAATTTTTTTATTTCCTTATTGTTCTTTATTATTATTATTATTATTATTATTATTATTATTATTATTATTATTATTATTATTATTATTATTATTATTATTATCGTCATCATCATCATCATTATTATTACATTTTCGCTCCCCAGGCCCCAATGTGGGTCAGTGATCTGTGCCCGGGTGGACTAATCCCCCCCCCAAAAAAAAAACATAGCTTGATATGCCCTATCTTTCTCCCTGTATGCAAGAGAGCAGGAGCGATCAAACCGTGATTGTAATGTGAAAGTTTTGGTAGATTGTGATCAGAAGACTCTAAGGGGCAAAAATTGATTATGAATAGTGTGAGGGGTTAGAGGTAAAACAAAGTTCAAGAATATAAGCAAGTTGATCGTGTTGATCTGGAACACGTGAAGGGCGTTTAATTATTTGTTCCAGATCATTAAGTAAGGAAAAAGAGAGTGCTTCAGCTCCACCTTGGTCATCCTTTGCAGAGCCAAGCCACTCACTGTGATGTACATTGAAATCCCCTAGGTAGAGGATCTCGGTGTTGGGGTGTGTGGATAACAACGGCTCATGGCAAGAAGTGAGATAGTCAAAGAGTTCCAAATAGTTGGTAGAGTTGGGAGAACAGTATAGGAAACAAAGAAACAAAGTCATAGTTGGTAGAGATATTTTGAGCCAGATGACATCATAAAGGGGAGATTCAAGATCCGTGAGTCGAGCTATAGGTGTACGTGTGTTGCAGTAGGCGCATACACCTCCCTTAGAACGGAAGGAGGTATAAAGGTTGTAGTTGGAGACTTGAAAAGGTTTCGGTGAAGCTGCTTTGGTCAGTTGAAGTTCAAATAGTAGTAAGAGGTCGGGGGAAGAGGTTAATAGATGGTGCTCCACAGAAGGAAAAATGGATCTTAGGCCGTGAATGTTGGGAAAATGAAGTGTGAAAAAAACCGATCCTCCAGCAACCGCGGTGGCGTCAGTTGAGGCCCCAGTAGTTGAATGATGATCAGGTCGGCCCTGGGGTCCACAACCTTCCCGACCAGTGGGACCCATCCGGGAAGGCCCCGCTTCAATATTAATATCAACTGACATCATAGGTGAATAAAAGAATAGAAAGAATAGAAATGATCAAGAGTGAGTGTGGATATTTATGTTATGTTGTCAAAGTAAGAGAAACAATTGAGACCCTACAATTGGGTGTAAATGAGGCAGAAAGTCAGATCATCAACCTGGGACTTGGTCACATATGGCAGCAGGGTCTACCATTTAACAATACATATTAACATAATTAACACATGATAAGTTGAACATGTATTATGAGTAGTGGTAATCATTGAGCCTCTTGCAGCATTCATTATTCTCAGTGTTATAGCCTCACACCACACGAGTGTAGTGTTGTAGCCTCACACCAGATCAGTGTAGTGTTGTAGCCTCACACCAGATCAATACAGTGTTGTAGCCTCACGCCAGATCAGTGTAGTGTTGTAGCCTCACACTAGATCAGTGTAGTGTTGTAGCCTCACACCAGATCAGTGTAGTGTTGTAGCCTCACACCAGATCAGTGTAGTGTTGTAGCCTCACACCAGATGAGTGTAGTGTTGTAGCCTCACGCCAGATCAGTGTAGTGTTGTAGCCTCACACCAGATGAGTGTAGTGTTGTAGCCTCACACCAGATGAGTGTAGTGTTGTAGCCTCACACCAGATGAGTGTAGTGACATGGAGCTCACGCAGAATCAGTGTAGTGTTGTAGCTCACACCAGATCAGTGTGGTGTGAGCTCACCAGATGAGTGTAGTGTTGTAGCCTCACACCAGATGAGTGTGTGATGTTGTAGCCTCACCAGATCAGTGTAGTGTTGTAGCCTCGCACCAGATGAGTGTAGTGTTGTGGCCTGGCAGATCCAGTGGTGTTGGCCTCACACCACATGGGGTGTGGTGTGGCCTCACACCAGATCAATACAGTGTTGTGGCCTCACACTAGATGAGTGTAGTGTTGTAGCCTCACACCAGATCAATACAGTGTTGTGGCCTCACACCAGATGAGTGTAGTGTTGTAGCCTCACACCACATGAGTGTAGTGTTGTAGCCTCACACCAGATCAGTGTAGTGTTGTAGCCTCACACCAGATCAGTGTAGTGTTGTAGCCTCACACCAGATCAATACAGTGTTGTGGCCTCACACCAGATGAGTGTAGTGTTGTAGCCTCACGCCAGATCAGTGTAGTGTTGGAGCCTCACACTAGATCAGTGTAGTGTTGTAGCCTCACACCAGATCAGTGTAGTGTTGTAGCCTCACACCAGATGAGTGTAGTGTTGTAGCCTCACCAGATCAGTGTAGAGTTGTAGCCTCCTGCCACATGAGTGATGTGGCCTCCCACCCAGATCAGTGTAGTGTTGTAGCCTCACACCAGATCAGTGTAGTGTTGTAGACTCACACCAGATGAGTGTAGTGTTGTAGCCTCACACCAGATGAGTGTAGTGTTGTAGACTCACACCAGATGAGTGTAGTGTTGTAGCCTCATACCAGATGAGTGTAGTGTTGTAGCCTCACACCAGATCAGTGTAGTGTTGTAGCCTCACACCAGATCAGTGTAGTGTTGTTGCCTCACACCAGATCAATACAGTGTTGTGGCCTCACACCAGATGAGTGTAGTGTTGTAGCCTCACGCCAGATCAGTGTAGTGTTGTAGCCTCACACCAGATGAGTGTAGAGTTGTAGCCTCACACCAGATGAGTGTAGTGTTGTAGCCTCACACCAGATGAGTGTAGTGTTGTAGCCTCACACCAGATGAGTGTAGTGTTGTAGCCTCACACCAGATCAGTGTAGAGTTGTAGCCTCACACCAGATCAGTGTAGTGTTGTAGACTCACACCAGATGAGTGTAGTGTTGTAGCCTCACACCAGATGTGTGTAGTGTTGTAGACTCACACCAGATGAGTGTAGTGTTGCAGCCTCACACCAGATGTGTATAGTGTTGTAGCCTCACACCAGATCAGTGTAGTGTTGTAGCCTCACACCAGATCAGTGTAGTGTTGTAGACTCACACCAGATGAGTGTAGTGTTGTAGCCTCACACCAGATGAGTGTAGTGTTGTAGACTCACACCAGATGAGTGTAGTGTTGTAGCCTCATACCAGATGAGTGTAGTGTTGTAGCCTCACACCAGATCAGTGTAGTGTTGTAGCCTCACACCAGATCAGTGTAGTGTTGTTGCCTCACACCAGATCAATACAGTGTTGTGGCCTCACACCAGATGAGTGTAGTGTTGTAGCCTCACGCCAGATCAGTGTAGTGTTGTAGCCTCACACCAGATGAGTGTAGAGTTGTAGCCTCACACCAGATGAGTGTAGTGTTGTAGCCTCACACCAGATGACTTTAGTGTTGTAGTCTCACACCACATGAGTGTAGTGTTGTAGCCTCACACCAGATGAGTGTAGTGTAGTAGCCTCACACCAGATCAGTGTAGTGTTGTAGCCTCACACCAGATGAGTGTAGTGTTGTAGCCTCACACCAGATGACTCTAGTGTTGTAGCCTCACACCAGATGACTCTAGTGTTATAGTCTCACACCAGATCAGTGTAGTGTTGTAGTCTCACACCAGATGAGTGTAGTGTAGTAGCCTCACACCAGATGAGTGTAGTGTTGTAGCCTCACACCAGATGAGTGTAGTGTTGTAGCCTCACACCAGATGAGTGTAGTGTTGTAGCCTCACACCAGATCAGTCTAGTGTTGTAGCATCACCAGATCAGTGTAGTGATGACTTTAGTGTTGTAGTCTCACACCACATGAGTGTAGTGTTGTAGCCTCACACCAGATGAGTGTAGTGTAGTAGCCTCACACCAGATCAGTGTAGTGTTGTAGCCTCACACCAGATGAGTGTAGTGTTGTAGCCTCACACCAGATGACTCTAGTGTTGTAGCCTCACACCAGATGACTCTAGTGTTATAGTCTCACACCAGATCAGTGTAGTGTTGTAGTCTCACACCAGATGAGTGTAGTGTAGTAGCCTCACACCAGATGAGTGTAGTGTTGTAGCCTCACACCAGATGAGTGTAGTGTTGTAGCCTCACACCAGATGAGTGTAGTGTTGTAGCCTCACACCAGATCAGTCTAGTGTTGTAGCATCACCAGATCAGTGTAGTGTTGTAGCCTCACACCAGATGAGTGTAGTGTTGTAGTCTCACACCAGATCAGTGTAGTGTTGTAGTCTCACACCAGATGAGTGTAGTGTTGTACCCTCACACCAGATGAGTGTAGTGTTGTAGCCTCACACTAGATGACTTAGTGTTATAGTCTCACACCAGATGAGTGTAGTGTTGTAGTCTCACACCAGATGAGTGTGTAGTAGCCTCTCACACCAGATGACTCTAGTGTTGTAGTCTCATTCCAGATGAGTGCGTGTTGTAGCCTCACACCCAGATGAGTGTAGTAAAGGTAGCCTCACACCAGATGAGTGTAGTGTTGTAGCCCCACCTCACCAGATGAGTGTAGTGTTGTAGCCTCACACCAGATGAGTGTAGTGTTGTAGCCTCACACCAGATCAGTCTAGTGTTGTAGCCTCACACCAGATCAGTCTAGTGTTGTAGCCTCACCAGATCAGTGTAGTGTTGTAGCCTCACACCAGATGAGTGTAGTGTTGTAGCCTCACCAGATCAGTGTAGTGTTGTTGTCTCACACCAGATCAGTGTAGTGTTGTAGCCTCACACCAGATGAGTGTAGTGTTGTACCCTCACACCAGATGACTCTAGTGTTGTAGTCTCATTCCAGATGAGTGTAGTGTTGTAGCCTCACACCAGATGAGTGTAGTGTTGTAGCCTCACACCAGATGAGTGTAGTGTTGTAGCCTCACACCAGATGAGTGTAGTGTTGTAGTCTCACACCAGATGAGTGTAGTGTTGTACCTCACACCAGACGAGTGTAGTGTTGTAGTCTCACACCAGATCAGTGTAGTGTTGTAGTCTCACCAGATGAGTGTAGTGTTGTACCTCACACCAGATCAGTGTAGTGTTGTAGCCTCACACACCAGATCAGTCTAGTGTTGTAGCCTCACACCAGATGAGTGTAGTGTTGCAGCCTCACACCAGATGTGTAGTGTTGTAGCCTCACACCAGATCAGTGTAATGTTGTAGTCTCACACCACATCAGTGTAGTGTTGTAGTCTCACACCAGATGTGTGTAGTGTTGTAGTCTCACACCAGATCAGTGTAGTGTTGTAGTCTCACACCACATCAGTGTAGTGTTGTAGTCTCACACCAGATGTGTGTAGTGTTGTAGTCTCACACCAGATCAGTGTAGTGTTGTAGTCTCACACCACATCAGTGTAGTGTTGTAGTCTCATACCAGATGTGTGTAGTGTTGTAGCCTCACACCAGATCAGTGTAGTGTTGTAGTCTCACACCAGATCAATGTAGTGTTGTAGCCTCACACCAGATCAGTGTAGTGTTGTAGCCTCACACCAGATCAGTGTAGTGTTGTAGTCTCACACCAGATGTGTGTAGTGTTGTAGCCTCACACCAGATCAGTGTAGTGTTGTAGTCCCACACCAGATGTGTGTAGTGTTGTAGTCTCACACCAGATCAGTGGAAGGGTGATGTCATGGATTGTGGAAACTGTAGGAGGGTTAAGGCTATGGAACACACTGTACTATGAAAGCATAGGAGTGAATAGTGTACCAGAAGTTGAGGGAAATGGTGAACACTGATGACATGCAGGAAGCATTTATGAAGGGATGCTGTCTACAGTACATCAGGTGGCAAATCCACGAGAAGCTGTTCAAGGGACACAGCTTCTGTGGTTAAGGCATCTGACAGAATCCTGAGGAAGTTGTGTATTAATGCCTGAAGGAAAAGGGAATAACAAAAAAATGATTAGAATAATGGAAGGGGAGTATATGAGAGCTAAAACTCTGACAAGAACTGCATATAGGGACTCGCATCAGTTTGAAGTGAGAGTTTTTTTTTTATGTCAAGGTTGACTGTTAAGTCCCTTACTCTTGGTGGTCCTGATGGATGTACTTAGTGGGAATATCAGGGACTGGTGGTTGGGGAGCTCCAAGGCTGTGGATGATATTATTATTACAGCAGAAATAAAGGAGCTGCAGGAATGTTGCAGTGTAGAAGAGTCTTGGGAGCCAGGGGTTGACAGTGAGTGTTGGGTAGACAGAGGTTATGGTGTGTCAAGAACAAGATGGGAGAGGATGCAGGGGCGGATCCTGTAATATCAAAAGGAAGGGGGGGAGTCCAAGAAGTTGTGGGTGGTGGAACATGGTGAGCACAGTGAGCTCACCCAGCTGGGGGGTGCTGGAAGCCCCTCAGGTATTTTTCTTTTTAATCTGACCAGTATCATGGGCATCACGATTGTTGAGGGTTGGAGGCAATTTATGAAAAGGAAGTGAGGGATAGAATGAGGGTGGCATGGGCAGGTGGAGGGAGGTTGAGGGAATTTTGTCTAATTGAAGGCTGTCAAAAACTGACGTTGAAGATATATAAGACAATGATTTAGCCAGTGTTGATATATGGTGCAAAGATGAAGATGTTGAGAGTACCACTCATAGTAAAGAGATCTAGAGACCCTGGAATGAGTCAATCAAAGTAAGGAGATCAAGAGACCCTGGAATGAGCCAATCAGAGTAAGGAGATCTAGAGACCCTGGAATGAGTCAATCAGAGTAAGGAGATCAAGAGACCCTGGAATGAGCCAATCAGAGTAAGGAGATCAGGAGACCCTGGAATGAGCCAGTCAGAGTAAGGAGATCAAGAGACCCTGGAATGAGCCAATTAGAGTAAGGAGATCAAGTAAAAGATGTAAGTTAAGATGGAGTCACACAGTTAAGGGTATTAAAGGCTTTATTACTAAGAAGAAAGAGGCTGTGGTCTTAACATTGTGAATGGTGAGAAAATATAAGGGAGGAGGGATGACTGAGAAATATAATAAGGGAAGGAAAGGGAGCTTGGAGAAGATCAGAGATAATACCTCTATAATAATTCTTCCATTAACTTCTGAACTTGAAATGGAACAGAATGTAATAAAATTCAAGCAACAGAGATGAGTTACTAGGTGGCCGTTTTGGGGGTTATCAGAATCAAAGGAGTTAGGAATATTGATGTGTACAGTATAGGGCATTTGGAATGGTAAATAAAAAGGAGGGAACATATTTTGGAGTGGAATGGTTAAAGGCTGAGTCTTTGTGATGGTATACACATTTGATAAGGATGCAGATGGAGAGGATGTAGGGTGACTATATATTAACTGGACAGGTATACCCCGATAACCGAGGCGTATACGGACTGTGAAAATTTGTTGGTTAGTGAATCAAGAGTTATCAAAGTAGTTAATCTCATAAGAATATAAAAAAATTCTGGGGGCTAGGGACCGGCCACCCTCCAAAAACTCCCATCTACCCTTAATATATCTTTGTGCTGGAAGCAAGAAAATAAAGCAGACACATAAAGCAAACATAATAGGCCTTCAATGAGCAATGTAAAGTATAAATTGAGACATTTATCTGTTTTGAGGATGGTAGAGATGGTCTAGGGTGGCAACTATAAGTCTACACCACTGTTTGCTGGTCCATTAACACTCTTATTATGCCTTATCACATCAAGCTTAACAGTAAGACCCACAGGAGGCAGCACAAGAGAAACTAACACTTGGGTGTTTAGGCATTATTGCATAACACACGAAAAAACACGAAGTCAGAGACAATGGGGTAAATGTAAACAAGTCAGAGAGGCGGCAATGAGTCGGAGGCAGCGCGCATACCGCATAGCCCTCTCGTGACAAGAATTTACACCATACCACCGCCCACAAAATTCAAAACCACTCTGCTGCTCCTCCCCCAATCATTGGATCAAAGGGATATCAACGAAATTGGCGGGGTACTGCATTTCCCCAATATGTAATCGTCGGTTATGCAAAGTGGCAGCTAATAGGACCACTAAACCTAACCTAACCTAACCTATTGATCCTAAGGTAATTTTAGGTAGATTAGAAAGGGTTTGAACTACAAGTGGTAAGTTTATAACTGTGGTCATAATTGTCACTTGAACACCTAGTGTTCTTTCTTTATTGTTCTTGTTCTCACATTGTGTAAACGAATATGGTTGATGTTAGTTTGATTGTTTAATTTATATAGGATGAAGTTAGTGGGCAGCTCAATGTAACAAGAGAGGTTAAGATATTTGGGGGAAAAATCCATGTGTAATTTGATGAAAATAAATTGTTTTAAACAGTAACCAGAGACTTCTCTTCATCAAAAAATGCTAAAAAATATAGGTAGAAAATAAGGCTGTCTGCTCTACCTATTTGTATTTTAAGATTACCGGTAAGTCTTGTGAGTCTAGATTAATGAAGATTCAGAGTACTGTACTGTACTGCACTGTACTGTACTGTATGTAGGTGACCCATAGTAGGATGTACAGTTCTATTCCATAAATATAAACCAATAAAATTTAAAGTGTTTACAGAATATTCATACAAGTAATTCATGCAGATTTTTTTAATGTTGTACAGTTAGTATGAAATACAACTTTGACCATTCATCTTTTAGAATACTGTATCTTCAGTAACCCTTTAGAGGACAGGCCCCACACTTAGGTATTTTATTATGGCTAATGCCAGATGATTTTATTCACCTGAGAGAAACCCCTGCCCTCTGAAGTGTTAAGGACAATTATTTTGCCCTCATTCTGCTGAAGCTTGATGTTTAATTCTAACTAAATATGTAATTGCAGAACTGCCCAACAAAGGCTGAGGCACGTCGTAGTGCTGCCAAGATTGCTCTCATGAACTCTGTATTTAACGAGCATCCCTCACGTAGGATCTCTGACGAGTTCATCGAGAAGGCTGTGGCTGATGCCCGTGCACAGTTCAAGGTAAGCATTATAAGCAAGTAGAGAGTGGAAGGCTTGGTAAGCTCCAAGCATGATAAATGCAGGCGTGTTGTGGATGTTGAGGTCCAGTGGACACATGGTAGCATCTTTCCAGTGTTGTGATATTAGGTGGTTATTTTTACTAATTGTTCAAGTACTGTGCTTTATATGAATGAAGAGGTTAGCTCTTCAGTGTATCAGATGACATGTAGGAATATACCATATGGAGCTTAAAATGTTTATGTGTAGTAAGCTGTGTCAAACCTTTGTATTTAGGGAAGTCATAGGTTATAAATGAAAAAGTATTAGTCTTCTGCAGTAATATAAGGCCACAGAATAAGTGACATGCAAGACGTATACCATTAAATAACCTCTGGCAGAGCCTGCCTTTGCTAGGTGTCTTGGCAAGTTTCATGGCAAGACACACAATGTTCCTACAAGCAGCACCTTCTATCACACAATGTTCCTACAAGCAGCACCTTCTATCACACAATGTTCCTACAAGCAGCACCTTCTATCACACAATGTTCCTACAAGCAGCACCTTCTATCACACAATGTTCCTACAAGCAGCACCTTCTATCACACAATGTTCCTACAAGCAGCACCTTCTATCACACAATGTTCCTACAAGCAGCACCTTCTATCACACAATGTTCCTACAAGCAGCACCTTCTATCACACAATGTTCCTACAAGCAGCACCTTCTATCATACTCGAGTCAGAGTTGATACAAAGATTCAAACTATCTTTCCTTTTCATGTTGTCTCATCGGTCAGTGTAGTTTCAGATGGACTAAATCTTTCATTTATATCAATGTGAGTTGAACCTCTTTGGCCATAACAGGACATTTATACTCCCTCCCTATATATTCCTACTGTGACTCAAAACCAACACAAGTATGCTTCTCTCAGCTCCTCCCCCCCCCTCCAGTGGTAATCACTTTGTTGCAGTGCTGGAGTTTAACACCTGTTAGGGCCACCCATGCCTAAATGGTTGCTGGTAAGATTCCAGACAGAATTACCACAAGGTCCTGGACCACATTACCAGACCAACCTACCTGAGGGGTCACCTCTTAGGGCCAGCCTGGGTTGGATAGTCAGGTGTCCAGGCTGGGTTCTTTGCACCTTCTAGGACAGGCTTTCAGATTGTGGGGTTCACTTTTGAAGTGAGCTCCCTGGGAACCTGCACTCGGCTCTTTTAGTCTCCTGGTAGGTGAAGATACACAATCCCTTTTAGTTTCAACATAATATATGGACAGAAAGAGAACAAATATATTAACAGCTCATTTGATGACTGGCCAGGTCTCTGAATCCTCTTCTGACCACCCTGGCTCATAGATCCCTTTTGGGAATGACAAGTCTACTCCCAACAATGCACTAGTCCTGTCAAATTGAATTGTTCAAGCCCTCTATTGATAAGTATATTGAGCTACACACAGAAGGTGGTAAATCGATTGTGGAATTTTGATGACTTTAAGATATATGATGAGATGGTGGATGTTTGTGTAGGGCAGCCAAAGATGCAAAAGCAGGCAGATAGGAGTCTCTTAGTGAATTTTTCTACAAGAGACAGTGAACGGGTTTGTCTCAGAGGCATGCACCAGACTATGCCTTACAGAAACAGCCATATTAGACACCTTAAGGATACCATAAGTGACCAAAGTTGAGGAAGTAAGGAAGAGGGTGGGTGGAGTGCTCTCTCCTACACCCAACTTCTTCTTGAACTTTAGTTTCTATTTTGTGGAAATGTTTCCCTTTGTCCCAATACCCGATGAAACAGTATGTGGATGATCCAAGGTGATGTTGTCATTGCCCACAGTATAGAAGAGGAATATTAAGTAAATGCCTGGCGTGTATGCGTCCTGCAGCCAGCACTTGCATGATGGTAGTATGTGTGGTGGGTCATTCTCTTACTTCCTCTGCCAGGATAATCGCACTTGGGGTAGATGGAGATGGAGGTTCTGGCCATGAGGGTGAGGGAGAGGGTCAGCTTTGGTGAAGCATATGAGAAGGCCATTCTACACCCCGTTCACCTTTGTGAGGCTTGTGCTACCATCCTCGCTCGTCATCCCCTGCAACCTGCTAAACTCCAACAAATAATGTCGCCTCTCTCAATGTTCTATCAGTGCACCAACAATGCATGAGACCCACAACCAGACCACTGTTTACAGAGCATCCCCCACTGACTGTGCTGTTATTACTGAAGACCCTACTAGCACCACCTGAGGAAGGTGGCATCGATTGGCACTGCTACTTAAATGGCTCCTAAGTTGGTACCAGTTAGCACTGCAGCTCCAGGGGAACCTGGATGAGCCCCAACAGTCAGTGTTGCTCCAGCATCTTCATTGCCAACATGAGATGTCTCAACTTCTTTGGAGGCTGACAGTCCAATGGAGTCAGAGTGAAATTCTGAAGAGACCCATTACCACCACAGATGCTAGGGCTTCTAAATGGGCTACAGCTAAAGTAACAGCCAGAAAGAATCCAACCCCACAGGAAGTCCGAGTGTTTGTAGCAGGGCTGTGGAGTCGAAGACAAAACCTTCGACTCCAACTCCGACTCCTCAAATTTTTATGCTTCCGACTCCGACTCCGACTCCTTGGCCTATTTGTAACAACTATTTCTACCATCCTAATTGTAATTTGTATGTTGTAACCTGCGTAGGTAAAAAGTAAAACACCGTGGCTATACTGCTACAGCTTTATTAATGATCTGGACGATATTTAAGAACTACAAAAAGATGATAGGCTTGACTTTCAAAGTTTCAATCAAAAGAAAAATAAATTTATTAAGAATTCAAGATATTAACTAGAAAACACCATTTACATGTATATCTAAAAGTTCGATCTCAGCATATGAATTTTGTTTAAGCTCATAATCTGATGTGGATCTAAATGATGATCCTACAATTCCTTTTAAAGTAAAGTTATATATTTATGTACATTAAAGAAATGAATACCTTATTAAGGAAAATGGATAAACCTTACATGATTAAGTTATTAAATTAAATTTGCCTTAATCTCACCAAAAACAGGTTGTAGCTAATTGTTTTGTAGCTGAGAGCCTCTGTGCAGTTTTCAACGAAACAAAATTTGATATAATTCAAAATTTCAAATGGTAAAGAAGAGACTATCGTCCAAAATTATAGTGCTATACTGTGCCTGCTACAATAAATTCATAATAATGCTTATAAAATGGAAATAAATTCTTTTAATAATTTAAGAAAATTAGTGGGATCAGTGGAATCACTGCAATGAATATGCCTGAGTTCATATATTTGTTCTTAGGAACAGAATAGCTTCAGTCGGAGTCGGAGTCGGAGTCTGGACAATTTTACCGACTCCGACTCCGACTCCACAAGCCGAACTTTCCTCCGACTCCTCGACTCCGACTCCGACTCCACAGCCCTGGTTTGTAGCTCTTTTACAGTGAAACTGCTGAAGTCTGAGGACATATTGGGAGTAGTTACAGCATCTTTTCTCCCAGTGTGTGTTTACCGGCTGAAGACGATGGTTGGAGAAGCTTTAGTTTACTTACCAAAGGGTTACTCCGGCTTGCACTCCCATTCAGGTCCTGCCAGAGACACATTGGCGAGTGTGTGGTGGACATTAGCCTCAGAGTTCCCTTTACACAGTTTTAGATTCAAATTCCTCCACAGGTTGTTGATGCCTAGCTCCACCTGCTGTTTAATGGACCTGTTGTTCGTGATGATTTAGATGGTCTTATTCACTAACTCCCTCATCCCTTCCTGATACTTTATTGTACTCTGTGGGGGAACATCTCGTTCAACCCCCTGTTGTGATCTGGATGGAGGATGAAGACATGAGAGTTTTAAATGCTGGTATAATGACCTCACTCATAACCACCTACAGACCAACCTTTCTACTGGTTCATCAAATGCTATCCAGGGGGTCCTCGACTTACGAACATCGGCCGATACGAATGAGGTCCCATAAAGTTAATTATTTTAAAAATCCAACATAAGTACAACTGGCTTGTAGCAGTTACGTACGAGAACTAGTTTGCATAGCTTAGAGGCGAGTGGGGAGTGATGCGTCGCACCCAGTCACGCACCTTGAGGGAGAGGGAGCGTCAGTATGCTTTATCCTTACTGCCTTAATGCGTGTGATCAAGTACAAACTGTTATTTTTTGTTTATTAATTCTCTTTTTGGCCCTCATCATGTTACCCAAACACAAACCTGATGCAAGTGATAGTAGTGCATCCAGGAAAAGGAAAACAATTACAATTGAAGTAAAAGTTGATGTAAATAAACATTCTGAAAAAGGCCAAACACCCTCAGTGATCAGTAAGGCGTTGGGTTTCAGTCGTTCATCGGTTGGAACAATTTTGAAAGACAAAAAGAAAATTCTTGAATACAAAAGGATCTACACTAATGGACTCAACTGTGATAACAAAATTCAAGATTATTTTATTTAAATCAACACTGCACTGCACCACGGTATATATTATCAATATGTTAACTAAATTTCAGAATGACCAATAATTTTAATGTAAAAATGCAAAAATATTCAAGACACCAACAAAATCGATGTTCACTCCACTGTCAACAAAGCCAAACTGACGCCTGGTGGCTGAGTCAAGCGGCTGATGGGGGCAAAAAAATTAGTTCCCTGTACTGCCGTAAGGATTTTGTTAATCAAAGTTTTGTTCGTTAACCGAATTGAAGATCCTTAGGGGAGGTAATTCATTAATCAAAATTTCGGTAATCGAACCGTTCGTTAACTGAGGGACCAGTGTATTGTATTGTACTCCACAACATATTACCTCCTCAATTATTACCTGTACAGTATTGTACTCCACAACATATTACCTCCTCAATTATTACCTGTACAGTATTGTACTCCACAACATATTACCTCCTCAATTATTACCTGTACAGTATTGTACTCCACAACATATTACCTCCTCAATTATTACCTGTACAGTATTGTACTTCACAACATATTACCTCCTCAATTATTACCTGTACAGTATTGTAC